TAAATTTTATTATTATAATTTTTTATAAAGTTCTTTTAATCTATATCCTAATAAGTTAAAATTTTTTTTATAAGATTTAGTAACAGTAAAAAGTACAATAAAACAAATGATCTGTTGATTTAAATGGAAAAAACTCAACTTCTCTTAAATAAAATTTTAAATTTGAGTCTTATAAATAGAGAAATAAATATTGGGAGAGTTTTTTCTCTAATAAAGTTTGACGCGATTCAATTTCAAATTAATCAAAATTTTAATATGATTATCAAATATCAAAAAATTAATATTAAAAAAATACAATAAATATATAATTAATATATGTCCTAAAGCACAATTTTAAAAAAGCTCATAGTATTTATTTAAGCCTTTGGATTTGGACGATGAGTTTTAAGCATGCTTATCCATTCGGTTGGAGTAATATCTTTCAATCAATTATCACAATATATACATGGAACTAAATATGCGATCTTAGGTAAGAAACGCATAAAGATTTGCGTGCTCCATAAAATAAAGAAAGTCAACTAGTGCTAAGAACTGGCATAATAGGTTCGCACAAAAATCTAATCGAGAGATAATATCGATACAAATTAAGTTGCATATGGTATTGTGCTTAGTGTCAACGTTTTAATTTGATTATAAGAAATGATTTTCTATTTTTTCTACCCATAAACCAAACGTGCAAAGTAGAAATCGATCTTTAGTGTCTTACTTATCTTATAATTATTGGTATTTATTCTTTCAATTACTTCAATGTGAATAATAAAAATAAAAAATTGTACTACAATTGTTGAAAAAATAACTTTTAATTTTTAATATAGGATAAAATAGCAACTAATATATATTTTTATTACTAAATTTAATTTTTTTAAATAACCTGTGTACTTAAAGAGATAATTATTATATTTTTTATTTAAATACTTTTTAAAGTAAAATAATTTAAATGATATTGAGGATGAATTTAATAATAATTTTTATATTTTTAATATTAATTAATATATAAATAATATAATAATTATATTTTTAACTTATATTGTAAATTTATATATTTAAAAAATTTTAAAAAAGAGAAAAAAAAGATTAAAGTTGGTCCAACACTATATAACTTTATAGTAACGAGGGGTTGGATCAAGTGATAAGCGGCTTGTTTCAGCTTAAATAAGGTTTTGAGTTCGAGACCTTGTGAACGCAGCAGCTCTCGTTGGGAGATTCACCCACCATTTCCAAGTGCGCGACGTGGGTTGATCTGAATTAGTCGGGACGAAACTCCTGATATCGGACGGCAAACTGAAAAAAACAAAAAACACTATATAACTTAATAGTTATTTCTTTTGTAAAAATGTATCTGAACGTAAAAATTTTAAAGTTTATTCGCAGATAGTACCCCCTGTCCCCAACAATTTCTCTGAGTAAAAAAAAAAATAGAGTTGGTGATTGGTATATCCAATAAATGGTAGGCATGCGTAAATATCAGCTTCATTAAGCACCTGTCTTCAGGAACCAAAGTGTCTCCTTAAAGGCTTGCAACTGTTTCATCCTGGCAGACATGGTCACTGGTGTGCTCAGTGGGGGCACCATAATTCCATATCAAAATCTCTTCTTCTTCCCCCCCTCCCCCCCTTTTTTTAATTTACTTTTTCCCCTTTCATTTGTTATTTAACTAAATTATTAAAAAAAAATTTTTTTTGATGAAATGAGGATGACTTAATTCCTCAGGCCTCGTGATGGGGAGATTTCTGGGTAACTGTCTGAAAAAGTTTTTTTTTTTTTTTTTTTTTGTTTTTTATTAACTAATCTTTCTATATCTAATAATCAAATTTTGAGATTACATTTCCCCATTTTGCTTTTGATTGTTATGTCATATTATTTAATAGTCATGAATTAATGTTGAGTTGATTGTACAAGTTATACTTCTAAACATTGATGTTTTGAACTCCTAAATAAGGAGCTAAACACACTTCTTGTCAAGACAAATTTAACAAAGTTGGATTGAGGATTTTGATTGATTCACCATGGACTTCCACCAAACTCAAAAAATTAGACGGTAAAAACTTGTAAATTGTAAGATGAGGGGTGAAATCCCTCATATCTATAAAGTTGAAGGGCAAAGTGGGAGGCTTTTTTGGCCTCTAGGGGGTAGGTGTGACATTTGACCAAACCACCATCCCTGTGTAGTGTGGACACACCATCCCCTCAAAGACTCTTCCTCCCCCCTTCCCCTCCCCTCATCGTATAAAACCCCGTCTCCCCCTTTCTTTTCTCTCAGCTTGACATTCCCTTCCAAAGAGAATACCAAGCTGAATCCTCCTTTCATTTTTTTGGGTTTTTGGCCTTTTTGATTCTGCATTTCTAAATTCAGGCGAATCCATACTCAAACTAACAGATATGCAGGCAATTTCTCCACCACACAATTTCCACTCCTTAGTTCGCCCTTCCGGGCCGCGGCTCACCAGGGTTACCGTCCGCTCTGTATACCGCTCTGACCCTGTCCACTTCCCAAACGGTGTTGGCCCATCCCGCGCTGATTGGCAGAGCTCCTGCGCTATCCTTTCCAGTAAGGTCTTCTCCGTCGACCAATCTTCCTCCGACAAATCCAACGCCGCTGCCGTTAACGGCCATAAGAGTCCCATTGACCTCAATCTTGTCCCTATTGACAAGAATAACAAGCCGCAGCCTCCTTCCACGACGCCGCCACAGAAACCCCTCACAATCACCGACCTCTCCCCCGCACCCATGCATGGCTCGCAGCTCCGAGTCGCCTACCAGGGCGTTCCAGGAGCTTACTCCGAAGCAGCTGCAGGAAAAGCCTATCCTAACTGCGAGGCCATTCCCTGTGACCAGTTTGAAGTCGCTTTTCAGGCTGTTGAACTCTGGATCGCGGATCGTGCGGTGTTGCCCGTAGAGAACTCTCTTGGCGGCTCAATTCACAGGAACTACGATCTCTTGCTCCGTCACCGCCTCCACATCGTCGGCGAAGTGCAGCTTCCAGTTCATCACTGCCTTTTAGCCCTACCTGGAGTGCGCAAAGAGTATCTTACCAGAGTCATTTCCCATCCTCAGGCTCTGGCGCAGTGCGAGCACACTCTGACCAAATTAGGCCTCAACGTCACGCGCGAGGCGGTCGATGACACAGCCGGCGCAGCGGAGTACATAGCAACGAACAACCTCCGTGACACGGCGGCCATCGCCAGCGCACGCGCCGCCGA